TTTTTTTTTTTTTTGGGTTTATTTTCTTGTAACTATCTGTTCCAATTCTCTAGGAATTCCAATTTTGAAAGTCCTTCCTTTTGTCATTTTGAGAAAATAGGTGTAATTTGTTTGCCTATCAAATTTGCAATGTATTTAGTAGGAGAAGCAGAAACTTGGAAAGCAAGACAGAGCTGTAATACCCATCTCGTAATTTATACTTAAAGTTGGATTCTTGGGAGCTTGTAGTTCTTTTGCAATACTAATGCGGCTACTAGAGTTAATTAAGTCAATTGGGTATTATTATTGGTATTGGGTCTTTGTTCCTTTTGTTATATTTGCTTTTTTTTGAAGTTCACCATCTGGCAGGTAATATGGAGTTGATTAGGTTACGACTGGAAATGAAGTGTCAAGCTTTTCTTAGTGTAGGTATAAAGATAAGGAAATACACCAGTGGCCAAAGTACCTCAAACTTTGATTTCACTGACCTCACGTAAGTAATTTGTGACTAAAACTGCTGATTAATTGCTTTTGGTTCGGATATGCAATTCTTTGTGAGTAAAATATGTCTTAACACAAGGATATTATTACTCTTCTATTTTTTTCTTGCATGACAGTCTCAGTATCAATTTATTTCTGACATCTGAATCATTTCTTTAAATGCTGCATGGATGGACATTGGGCACATGAATTGGAATTTCAAAAAAGTAGCTGTTGTGGATTTTGAATTTTTGAGATACTAAACTTTTTGAAAGAATACACAATCTTTGAAATTGGCTGACTTTGAAGTTTTTTAGGAAACTTTTATTTTATTTTTAAGAAGCTTTCATTTTTCAAATGCTTTATCACTTGGTCTGTTTAGTAAAAAGCTGTTTCCTGTTCTCTAAAATTGAGATGCTCCACTTACACATTCTTCTATGCATTTTGTTTTAATCTAGTGCGTGTTTACTTCAGCTGTCCCCCATATGTGGTATCCTACTGCCTGAAGGAAGAAACGCAAGGTTTTCCTGCATGTGGGCCCCACGAATGGTGGTAAAACATACCATGCTTTGAAGCGGCTTGAGTCAAGTGCTTCAGGTATATTTTAAATGCTATTTTACCTGGATCTCACTTTGTCCCTTGGCCAGGATGCAGTAGGAGTTTGTAGTTTATGATAAACAGATTTAGAATTTATGGGCTCTGGCTCTCTGCAGGTATATATTGGGGTCCTTTAAGATTGTTGACATGGGAAGTGGCAAAACGAATGAACAAGGCAAAAGTTCCTTGTGATCTAATTACAGTACAAGAGAGAGACGAAGTTGATGGTGCAAGGCACAAAGCTGTCACAGTGTAGATGGCTGATGTAACCTCCCATTACCATTGTGCTGTTATTGATGAAATACAGGCAAGTTTTTCTCTGATCCGCTCCTTACACAAAACAGTGCATTAATTAAATTTGAAGTTGATATGTTGGAGTGATTTAAGAAATTGTAAGTTTGTTGCTGTCTGGAAAAGGGAATGGCTATGTTTAGATTGATCTTCCTTATTTCTCATTCTTTTTATCTTTTCTTGTTTTTCATAGATTTTGGGAAGTAAAACAAAGGGTTTTTCATTCACACGTGCTCTATTGGGAATTGCTGCTGACGAGCTTCATCTTTGTGGAGATGCAGCTGCTGTTCCTCTTATTCAGGAAGTGCTGAAAGTGACCAATGATAATGTAGAGGTACTGTAATTTTCTGGAATATATGTTTGATCAATTTTTTAATTTTTACATTTTTTATCTTGTTAAAGGTAACATTTATGTGAAAACAAAATGGCATGCTTGTTGTCTTTCTTTTTCTGTTTGTTTCTATTGTAAATTTGTAATCTTTGTATGCTTAATGTCCCAGGTCCAAACTTATGGAAGACTTTCACCACTTGTTCCTCTAGAAGTTCCACTTGGATCTTTTTCTAATATAAAAACAGGAGATTGCATTGTAACGTTTTCACGTCAACAGATCTATAAATTTAAGGTTAGGCGTAACTTCCAATTTTGTTGAACTTTTTATCTTAAATTTTCCTGTTTTCTCCTTTTTATCTATATATTCTTCCTTCCTCTCCTTTTCTTTGTTTCTCTGTGTGTCTGTCTGCTTGATTGCTATTGAGTGGTTTCAATAGGTTAGTTGTTAACTACAGCCCTCCTTGCTTTAATATCCTCCCATTTATTGTATTTTCATAATTTGTAAATTTTTTTTTTTTCAACATGAAAAACTGCATAGTTTTAACATATTAAATAAAGCTTTACTTCCTATATGTTTTACTGTTTTAGATCCAGCAATTTTTACTTTTGAAGAAAGAACTTTCCTTTTAACTTTGGTATTGATGTATGCATATAAATATTTCAAACTTTGATTCTCTCCAATCAGGTACCCCTTCTTTTCTCCTCTTCTGAAAGTAATTTCTGATCTTTGCTACTTTTCCAGAAGCAAATTCAGGATGGGGGGAAACGTCTTTGCTCTGTGGTTTCTGGTTCATTGCCACCAGAGACTTGTACAAGACAGGTGCCATCCTTCTTCTACTTATTTTTCTTCTTCAGTACAAGTCTCAATCTTGATATGCGATTTTTATTGTCATGCAATGATGAATCTTCTTTCTTAGTCATTTATAGTTCCTTGTTATTCTTTTTTATTTATTTTTAATATGCTGTTTAAGATTGCAGGCAATGATGTTTAATGATGAAACTAGTGAGTTTGATGTGCTTGTGGCCAGTGATGCAATTGGGATGGGTCTTAATCTGAATATTTCTGGGATCATATTCTCCACTATGAAAAGGTTTGATGGTGTTGAAATGAGGGAGCTTACAGTACCAAAGATAAAGCAGATTGCAGGTAACTTGGAAATCTAACTAAAATTTTAACATGGTATTTGGATTGGTTGGTAGCATTCTGTTAAATTCTTTTTCTTTTTCAGTTTTGTCATTCATACAAGTTGCATGGTGCTGATATATAGTGTTAATAGTGTTAGCCCCTTTGCTGAAAACTGACATTAAGGTTCTTTTTTTTGGTCACCCACATTAAAGTCGATGATCCATACAGCATGGTATTTTCCATATGTTTCACGTTTTTTATTTTAATGAACTTATTGATTTTCCAGGCAGAGCTGGTAGGTATGGATCCAAATTTCCTGTCGGTGAAGTGACTTGTTTACGTGCAGATGACCTACCATTGCTTCATTCATCATTAACGGCCCCATCTCCTATTCTAGAGGTGCTGGCATTGTCATTTGAAATTCTCATGAAAATCTGCTTTAACTTGGTTTTGTAAACACCAATGGGGCTACACTTTCATGTGTTTCCACATTTTGCTGTTTACTGAATCTGAGTAACTTATATAATGCGGCGAGCTGGACTGCTTCCAAGCTTTGATCTATTGTATATGTATTCACGTTTGCATCGAATGGTGGTTTCTACCAGATATTGGTAGGTTGGCCATGACTATCTTGCTGTCCTTATTTTTATTCTATATAATTAATGTGGTATTGACAAAATAGATGGTTGAAGGATTATACCTGCACTCCCCCTCCCCCCCCCAAAGAAAAAAAAGAAAAAAGAAAAAAGAAAAAAGGGGTAAATTGACCCTCTTCTTGTAATATTTTTTCCACAGGAGCATTTCCTAGAGAATGCAAAACTATCAGAAAATTATTTTATTTCCAACTGCGAAGACATATTGGTAAGTTTCTTCAATCATCCTTTACATGTCTTATTTCAATTTTTATTTCATCTACAAGGACTAATGGCAGTATTGACCCCAGAAAGTTGCTGCTCTTGTTGATCAATTGCCTCTCGGGCTGCATGAGAAGTATCTTTTTTGTTTGAGGTAATATATTACCTTCAAACTGCAGGAAGTTGCTTAGAATAATAAGTCTGTCCAGTCCAGTAAGCTTTTCTACCAGCTTGGTTGACCAAACAATTCAGGTAGCATATGCCACGAACAACTTGATCACATTCTTATTGTGTAGTATTTATGATATGCAGTCCAGTTGACATGGATGATGAGATTTCAGCTCAGGGTCTAACACAGGTAAATTCTTATACTAAATTCTTTATCTAAAATTGTTATGTAATTCAAAATTACTTTGAAAGAAGAAACTGAGATGGTCTATCTATCTCCATTGATCAGTTTGCAGAAAATTATGCTAAGAAAGGCATTGTTCAGCTTCGAGAAATATTTACAGCAGGTACACTTCAAGTGCCAAAGACACAGTCAAATGAAGGAGCTTGAATCCATTCACCAGGTAATTTTTTTTCTCCCAGTATTAGCTGAACATGGACCTTTTCCATTGTAAAAAATGCAATGTCAATAAATTCTCAACTCTTAAATTAAATGCATTTGCTGCTAACCTCATCTTTTCTTTGGGACAACGGAAGCTGCTTGATCTCTATATTTGGTTGAGTTTTCGATTTGAAGATTCTTTCCCTGACCACGAGCTGGCATCTTTGCAAAAGGCAGCAGACAGCATTTGAGCGCCTTTTTTGTGTGTTGTTTCTACGGATCTCCCTTCATGTTGATAAATTGATATCTTATGAAGGTGAAAATGGCTTTGTTGTAGGTTAATCGAAGATTTCCTAGAAAGACTGGGCTGCTGGCCGAAGCCAAATGCAAGAAAGCTATCTACACGCTCTAGCTTAAACTCTCTATTCTCCAAACACGTCTACAAGAGAAGGGCACTGGGAAGAAGTGAGAGGGAACTGTTATGTTCTTTTTAAAAGAGTGGAGAAGAAAACATCAAATTGGAAAGATTTTAATCCATTACAAAGACTCTGCTTTAAGGTTAGTGCAAAAAAGACTTTAATTTTACCAACTCAAGATACGAAAATTAGAGGTTGAATCAAAAGACATAGTTACACAGGAACAAAATGCAGGACAAATCTAGCCCAATCCAATGGAAGAAATGGTTGAGTTGAGACAAGTTGCCAAAGTTCTAATTCCAGCTCAAACCCAAAGAAAATTTTCGGGGGTGTGGGGTTCAACTTGGATTTGAAATTCGTGTGATTTTGTTCACTTCAAGACTGTCTTTTCTTAACCATAAAGAGAACAATGCCCTGGAGCGATGAGTAGTATATGTTTGACAATTTTTCATTTTAAATTAGGAAATAACCAAACTTTTTTTTTTATTGGAGGAAATAACCAAACTTAAATTTGTAAAATATATCTTCAAATTCTTGGGTTGGAGAAAGGACATTCAAGTTTCAATTACATGTATTTAGATCTTTGAAATACAGAGATCAAAATGTAAGTATTGAAATGCACTTTTATTATGTAAAAACAAACAGTTCTTTTGAATTGAAACCCAAATTCAAATGCACACTCCCTTCAAATTTAGATTCACAAACATATACACAATAACTAAGTGTTGTTGTCACGATCAAAGGACTAAACTAACGCCATGGTAGTGTATACACATATGACATGTGAGAACTATATATACATAGATTGACTACATGGTACATTGCAAGAACTATGTAATAAGATGGACCACTTAAGATCCTCATCAACGACTCAAAATGTCAAAAAATGCCAAATTTAGAAGGTAGTTGATGCTCAATGTGAAATAAAGTGGCCTTGGTAGCTAATGAGGGTTGATGTAGATAAGGCACATAATCAACAAAAAGAACACCACATATGTTAAGAAAA